AACGAAGCTTCGAAAATGTGATCGGATACTAGCATTTTGCGAATATTCTTTTTTATTAATGACCATGTTTCATATTCATTAAGTAGAACAGAGCGAACTACTGAACAGTAAATTCGTTCTTTGGTTGGCAAATAGATATTACACCTACATCATAAGTGACACAAGTTGGCAAATGCCAATCGAGTCCCCTAAATCTGTGCCGATATTTTGTCCACATCCTAATTTGAACATTCTTAAAAATATTTAAACCGGAACCAGAGAGGATAGCATGCTAAAACAAGTAGTAGTTGGGAAAAAGTAACAAGTCCCGATTATCGTTCTTTATTGACTTCACGACTTTACCAGATAGTTAGAACTTTTACTAAAAACTGTGTGTCTAATATTCGATACATAATAGTTACTAAAGTTTCTAATACCACATTCCCACGTTAACCAGTGTCCAAAAGATCTTCCCCTCTTTATCCTTTAGCTCATCTACACCAGTGTAGAATTAAGGTTTTCCACTTACCTTTATTTGGTACTCACTATACACATGTTCAATTTCAGCTCTTGCGGATGTTGCCTCGCTGTGCTATGATACCCAGGCCATACAGCCCACATTTAATGAGTTGAAAAGCAGTGTCCGTAGGTATAGCACGTACTTCGCACTTCAAAAGATTGGCATGACCCTGTGCCTGATTTATTTTTTATTTTATTTTAACACATAAGTATAGGTACAGGGAGGCACCAAATACATATGCGCCACACAAATCTCAATTGATTTGTGTGAGGGCTGTGATACTGCCCGGGTGCCCAAACCGAAGCAGGTGGTTTTATTAGGGGGCCACACCCCGAGCCTTTGACCTGAACGTCTGACCCACAAGGCAGTGGAGCATCGTGAGGAGATGCAGTCCCATAGTAGCCGGTGACCAACGATTGGTTCATACGCCATTTGTTCCCACAGGATACTGGAACCCATGTGCACCATTGGTTTGGGGTCCGGTTAAAGCGCCAGACATTCGCTTTTCGTCCTCTCATTTTCGTAAACAACACCCGTGGTGCGAGAAGGCAGTGAGTAGGACTTCCCTGGCAGAGGCTATATACGCATGGCCATGTGAGAGCATTTCGAGAGGGAGAGCGGACTCTCCCCACTCTCGGCCGTACCAGGGCCTCCCTCTTGTTACTGAACAGTTGTAAGTGATCGAGTTCGTGTGTCTGGGTAACTGTGTAAGTGCTGGTGGTGGCGTGAGTGATGAGAAGTTCTGATTTACAATGAGTCGGTGAGAGCAGTTTTACTCTATGCTTTTGATATATGGACTCTGAGTTGAAGATGTTAAACGACTCTCTGTGTTTGACCATCGTTGTCTCAGAAGGATTATTGACATTCAGTAACTTCATGTTAATAACGCGAAGATTTGGTCACATGCGTTCGGGAACAGTGACGATAGTTCATTTTGGTGTCAACACATTGAAACACCGACTTTGGTGGCTTGGATATGTACCACGAATGTCGCTTGCATGTTCTCTAACAAAATCCTGAATTTTGATCAAAGTTCAGACGTATCTTACACTTGCATAATGTAAGGCTGTGCTGTAGTGTTTATTTTGATATATGATCTTAATTTATGTACACCAAAACCATCCATTCAACTCATACGATTCCATTCACTTAATTCTTCTAACTTATGTAAACTCTTCAAATCCTGCTCAACTATTGCGTAACCCATCTTATCAATCTTTAGTTCCAGTAATCTTATGTAAACCCTTCATAACCTCTAAAATTATCGCACAATTTATATTATTTGTCTACGTACCTCATTTGATTAATGCACCACCTACCTTCTATGCTGTGGTGTGCCCCCAAATGCCCTGGTATGGCCGAGAGTCCACTCTCCCTCTCGAAATGCTCTCACATGGCCACGCGTATATAGCCTCTGCCAGGGAAGTCCTACTCACTGCCTTCTCGCACCACGGGTGTTGTTTACGAAACTGAGAGGACGAAAAGCGAATGTCCGGCGCTATAACCGGATCCCAAACCAATGGTGCACATGGGTTCCAGTATCCTGTGGGAACAAATGGCGTATGAACCAATCGTTGGTCACCGGATACCATGGGACTGCATCTCCTCACGATGCTCCACTGCCTTGTGGGCCAGACATTCAGGTCGAAGGCTCGGGGTGTGGTCCCCTAATAAAACCACCTGCTTCGGTTTGGGCACCCGGGCAGTATCACAGCCCTCACACAAATCAATTGAGATTTGTGTGGCGCATATGTATTTGGTGCCTTCTTGTACCGATATCTATGTGTTAAAATAATAATAAATAAATAAAATAATGCTGTGGTGTTCGTGTCTGTCGACACTTGGTCTGAAAATGAGTAACTGGTTAGTAATTTTCCGGATTTGCACTGATCATAAAGGTTTGGTGTTTGATAAAATATTGCCGTTGATACAAAGAGTTTATTTGGCATATATCATTATAATACACGTATGTAGTAGGCTAAGTTTAGGCACTTAGGAGGTCGAGTTTATGTAGTGGTAGGCTCCGTGTTTCTTATTAGCTCTTAAATGCTTTCACTAACAATTAGCCACGTATACAGTAAAGGCATGAATAGAGTTTTCAGAGAGCAGTTTTGCTCTATGCTTGTGAAACCTGGCCTCTCCGAGTTGACGATGTTAAACGACTCTCTGTGTTCGATCATCGCTGTCTCCGAATGATTGCTGACATCCAGTGGCAACACCATGTTAGTAATGCAGAGGTTCGGCATCGTGTGTTCGGGCACAGAGACGATAATGAAATTGGTGTCACCATCTTGAAACACCGACTTCGGTGGCTTGGACATGTTCTACGAATGTCGTCCCAGAGAATTCTACGTCATGCATTATTTGCCGACTCTGGGACTGGTTGGAAAAAGCGGAGAGGTGATCAGTGTATGACATGGTGTCGTGGTATGAAAGTAAGCTGCAAAGGGCTGGCTTGTGTTTGTCCTTCACGACTCCCTGGCTGGGGTCCGAGAGATGGTGTAACACAGTGGGTAGAAACGTTATCAGATATGGCTCAGGATAGAAACCAGTGGCGATCCTGTTGTAACCTTCCTTTACTTTCTTCATAAAAAGTGGTTGTATCTTAACTGTAAGATTTCTTCTGAGTGTACCTTTCCGTCTTCCCCATTACTGTTCTCTTTTTTTTATAATTCCCTACGTTCCTTATCTTTTTTCCCCTTCTTAAATTTTCATTGTTTGGTGTGGCGCATATATATTTGGTGCCCCCTTGTACCAATATTTATGTGTTCAAATAAATAAATAATAATACAGTAAAGGATTCATTTGGATTTGCTGATAGCATGGACCACAAAAATATTGCTGGTTAGTTTACGGTTTTTTTTTATGAGACATGATTATTTACAAAAATACCACTTCTTAAAACCATAGACATACTTTGCTAGCATTTTGACATCCTACCTCTACCAGCATCAGGATTCAAACTACTGTTACTCATGTGCACAAAAGATGTTAAGTTCCATTTCAATAATATCATTTACCGACAAACCGATGGTGTAACAATTGGAAGTTCGTAACAGATTTTTCCATGACTAACCTCGAAAGAACCAAGCTCAAATGAACGATTGATGAAATGGTGTATTATTCGAGGTATGTTGGTGATACCTTCATCGTCTGTAATGATCAACAACATTAATAAATCTGCTAAAGCTTTTCAACAAAACCCATCCAAATATCCATTCTGCTATGGAACATAAAATGAGAACAAATTCCACTTTCTCGATATCGCAATCAAACGATGGAAAGATGGCACAGTTCGACGTTCAGTTTACAAGAAAGACACATGGAATGGCGTTTATCTCAATTTCGATAACTTTTGTCCAATCAGTTACAAAAAGGCACTTGTCAACACACTCACAAAACAGAAAGAACCTATACTGCTGACACACTAGAAAACAAAGTTATGAATGTTAAAAAATGACATGACATCAACTTTTCCAGACCTGTTTTTGATTGATCAAATATTATTCTTGCATTGTCCCGTTGTAGTAATTAAACTTGGATTAATTTTAATTTGGTTATTTATTTTCTGAAGAAGTGACTTACACTAAGTCGCGAAACGTCAGAAAATCTAATTTTCTACTCATTGGGATATTACAAATATATTATTTATCAGTGTTAAAAAATGTTTAAAGAATAACGGATACCCACTGAAATTTATTGAGACATATGGAAAACGTGAAGATAAAAAACCCAAAGAAACTGCAGCAAATAAGAAACCAATTTTTATCCAACTTAAATCCGAAGGTGATGATGACACATGGTCAGTCAATATGAAACTAAAAACTGCATTGACAAGAACTTATCCTGCAGCTAAGCTAATTGTCCTGTCCAAAACAACATTTCTTTAACACAATCAAAGGTCGATAGGTATCCCTTTCATGTTACCACCAACTGTATGTACAAATTTACATGTATCTGCCAAAGCAGTTACATTGGTAGAACAGAAAGGAGAGCCTACGTCCGATTCAAAGAACATCTTCCGAAAAGTTTAATATCAAATGGATTAAGAGCACTCAACAATGCCATCTCAAGACATCTTGACACAGGACATTAAGTCGATACCCTGAAGTCCTTCAGGGTGATTAATAAACAATCAAACTCCAACCTTTTGAAATTTGCCGAAGCGACAGCAATCAAACGTCTAAAACCAGATCTATGTATCCAAATGAGACAGTAGTAAATCTTTCTTTGCCCTCGTAACATTAAACCCCTTTTTATTTATTACGTCATCTATTATTTCAACTGTTTCTGAAGTTTAAATTACATCATTGTCATGTTTCTTCAATTCATAACTAACTGATTTCAATTCATATCTTTCTTTGTTACTATTATTCTATTTTCAGTTGTTTCATTGCACAATTATCTAATGTTTTCAATCATTAAGATCATGAGTCAGTTGAAGCTAGACCACCATGGAAAACCTGGAAGCACTGGACGGCCGTTTCGTCCTATTGTGGGACTCCTCAGTGCTTCCAGGTTTTCCGTGGTGGTCTAGCTTCAACTGACTCATGATTGAAATCACTACAATCTCCACAAAACCCCTTCTGATAATTATCTAATGTTTGTTAACTTCGTGAGTTCTAATCACTTTGAATGTTCTGGAACTTTCCCTCTCAAACTTTATTTATCCGAAACAAAAAATTTTATAACCTTATTAGCATGTATAAGTATGTCAATATCTTTAATAACGTTGATTTTCAAATGTTTTAGGTTGTAAGCAGCTGACAAGAACCTAACGAAATAAAATGAATTCATATTATTATGCACCAATCTTCGTTCTTGCTCTCTCTAAGATAATAAAAGAAACTATGTGTATGAAATCACTAAAGATAGTTGATGTAAAATGATTACAGACAAATATCCTTTACGTTTTTTTGCCGTTTCATTCTTCGTCTGCGCATGTCTATACAATTCCGCATTTTATCCACATGGTTGGGTTATAATCATTACCTCAACCATTCAGACAATATTTCTCCAATTATGCATCACATTTACGTGATTTATTCTATTACATTGATTACAACTCGATATCTTATAACAGTTTGCTTTTACATTTTAAATTTACAAAGGACATGAACCAGATATATTTACACCTAAACCGATACGAAAATCCACATTTTTAACATTGTTTAATTTATTAATTCATATTTGCTTGATTTTACCCACTGTAACACAAAGATTATAGGTGTATAAAGCTGTAGAACGTGATGACAAAATTTCTGTAAACTGTTCGCTCAAAAATTTCTTGTTTTTAAACAGTGTATAGGGATCTTGAAACTGTTAATTTGTGATAAGTGCTTGGCTATTGATCACCTATCAAAAGAGTACTTTTTATCTTGATAACCTGTTTTAAAACACAAGTTTCTTTTACGGAATGTTTTTTTTAAGATCTGGCAACCATATAATCTTTTAATCTGTGATGCATTAATCTTTCGTTTATTTCCTTTCAGATCATAACAGTTAGATGAGACTTGATATTGAATTTTCCGGTGGGGCTGAACTTTTATTCAACAAGCAAAAAGAATATCAAGTTGATCTACCACCCACAGTGATTCGACTAGGTGATTTGCTTGTTTGGTTGGAGAAAAATCTTTTACGAGAACGTCCTGAACTTTTCTTACAAGGGAAAAGCGTTCGACCTGGGATTCTCATTTTAATCAATGATGTAGATTACAGTTTATTGGGTGAGAATGATTATATTTTGAAGGAAATGGATAAAGTTATATTTATATCTTCATTGCACGGTGGTTGAGTTTATGCACAAGAACATTCTTTACATATTTGTAATATTTGTTTATTATTTGTGAAGGTCAGAATTATGATAAATTCTTTTGATGAAAATCATTTATCTTTTTTCCTTTCTGGTATTATCTTCCACAAGTCAGAAATAGTGTAGTTTTCTGGTAGACGTTCGACAGCAAGGCCGAGGTCTTCGTTGTACACTGGCTCTCTGTCTTTTAGTTTAGTTCCATCCGCTAGATAAACCTTTGTAAAATGTAAACAATAGTAGAGTTTTAGTGTTAAAATTTTGTTATGTGACATAAATTTGTGGGAATTTATTTGATATCTGTCTGTTAGCTTTAAGTGCTTGTATTAGCTAAGAGCCGCAAATGGTACTGCTGTGGTAGAAAAACGAATATTTCTGTAAGCGGTATAACTACTGAAATTATAATCATCTTGCTGAAACAGAATCTCAATAGGCTAAGTGTCAGTCACAACTAGCTCATCGGTTTAACATCAAACTACCTTGAGTTGAAACAATTCCTTGATATAAGGTGTCTTTACCATACGTGTTTACGACCTATTATGCAAATTCGTTTTATTGCTGAGTAGTATCTAATTTCGATCATAGAATCGCCTCTATAACATGAAATTACAGGAAGTTCCTGTGTGTCCGAATAACTATATTTGGAGGATTGGACATCACTAATACACAAATCTGTTTTTATTTCCATATTGTTGGAGTGGGCATTCAAATAATCCTAATGGTCTTTGGACAGGGATGATCGGTTGATATGTTATGGTTGTTATGACTTCATGGCACTACTTATAGAACAATCTTAATACAGTTACGTGAGATAGGTTTGAGGAATAATTATTCTGCTTATCATTTTCTAAGATGTTAAGTCTTAAAATGTACGAGCTATATATTTTGCAAATCAATGTTTACTGGAAAAAAGCTTTTGGTGCGACTTATTATATTTAACGACTTACTGAGAGAATATCACAGTGATCCTCAGTAGTTCGATCTCTAGATTGATCTATGTCTTCATTTATTTTCTTTACCTATGGTTAAGGAAACAATAAAAAGTTTTACAAAGGAAATCCGTTGATAAGATATTAGCCAATGGAGATGTATTGTAAAGAATGTTATGGTTTTATGTCCGGCTTTCTATTACGTGATTTGTCCACCAAACAAAATAAGACTTGTGCAATCTTAGCACTGTGCCAAACCAATGATGTTCGACCGGTATGAGCAGCCTAGCGTCTTATGTTCGTCTAGCCCATCCACTTGAGTCCAGAACACCAATATCCGCTTCCACTATGCGAATGAATTAAATAATATATTTCAAACATACTGTGTTTGTATATGTCAAACAAACAGGCCTCAACGCACCGTAAAATAGGGAATAACATTTGTACACAATAGAACCAAAAAGTGGCTATGAACGTGGGAGATAGCAGTTAATAAACTGAGCATAATTTAGGGACAGTAAATCGTACAATAATAAATTTTAGGTCAAAACAAAGCTTATAACAAGGGGAATATAGATATACATAATCCAGTTACTGAAAAGTTATATGATAGGGATGTATATATATAATATTAGTTCAATAATTGTCCTCGAGAGTTACCCGTAATTTAATCTTCACTAGGATATAACAGAGAAATTGAATGGATCGAATATTTTAATGTAAAGACGCCAATGTAACACAATCATGTTCCAGATACAGCTAAGATAGATGCGAAAAGGTCAATCAACATAAGAGATTGAGGAGCTTCCTCTAAAGAGGCAGCACATCAAATTGTGGCTATATTGTCAACCTGTTTGTCGTATGCAGTATCAGCTCAGTTTCCTGCTATTAATCTAATCAAACACATCATTCAGCGCATACGACAGTCAGTGTTTCTTACTAAATTCGAGTCCTTTAAATGTACTAAATTGCCCTCTGAAAAAGGAAGTCTTAATCAATTGATAATCAGAGAGTTGCAGGAAACCAACTACAGGACAGAAAATATAGGGAAGTAGCAATACGTACCAAACTGGTCATAGAAGTTTACGAAAACAGATTGATACTAGACTGTCTACATGGAATAGCACATAATTTTAATCTGCAAATATGAACGTGTTAAAATGTTACGAGAGTTTTGTAGTTTAAGTAACATTTACATCTACATCAAATTGATGTTATTCTATCTTGATGCTCTATTATTGCTGGGACTATTTAATCTTATTAAGAAATCACCCTTTTAGGCTGAGTTATCGATGTGTCGGGGTCAGAATTTTAAATGTTTATGTCGCTTACCTACTTACACCTGTCACCCTACCTAGTCTGTCGTAAAATGTTAAGAGTAGTACATAAATTCCAGAACCAAGATAAGGTTGCATTATGATCGAAGAGTAAAATAAAAATAATTAGATAAAACAAAATGCGTAAAAGGTAAATATCAACTTATGGAGTATTATAAAAATGAATAAGAAATTGAACACACTTAGGTGGTAATCAAAAATGACTTAAAATTAGAAACAAAACAAAGTATCACTCATCAATTGGCTTTGTGTGAGAAAATCACATGTGATAACACCTTGAACATGACGCTTTAGGACATAGCTCAGGTTTGAATTGTTGAACTGTTACCGCCTCTGCAGCAAAATCATTGGTAAATACTGTTGTAATGTAGTTGGGTTTTCGACTTATTCCAGCTAAGTTGAAAAAAATGTCTCAATATTTCTGCCTGTTAAAAGCAAATCTGAGTATGATTTTAACTGGGATAAATGACAATTTGACTTGTATGGATACTTGATAATCCTGTGTTTATAATTATCACATGGGGTGCACCAAATATTGTGGTTAATACTACATATGCCGACAGACATAAGTAGCATGTAATATCAGTCGGAAGTGAAAAACCTGGCAGCAGAAGGCTAAGAAGATTGAGTTTAAGATAATAGAAAGGAATTGTAAACTGAAAGGACCATACAGAATGTGAAAGACAAATGATGGAAATTTTCAGATGAAGTATTTAAATTATGGTCCTCATGTTTTACAAAGATATTCTGTGACTTTGTATGAAACAATACACTGGTTGTTCCCACCAGAGTGTTTGTTTATTGCAATATGTTCCTTCTGTTCATCTGATTAATATTAAGTGAAACTTAGTCACTTGACTCTTGTTATCTCGAACGGCGACAACTGACAGTATAAAAGTTCATTAAGTTTTGCTGCAAAGCATAAGAGACAATGTTTTTAAGAATACATTCAACGAAGTGTGCCGACAATGACCTTTGAATAATAAAATTAAGTTATATTTTCGCCTTCATTGTTCTTCAAGTATTTAAAATCCATTTCAGTGAGGTGTAAAAAGTATAAACCAGAATGTATTTATTCGACTTTATACATAATAGTTTCATTTGAAACTTTAATCAGATATTCTCTTTCAAAACAAATACATGCACATCTATTTTATATACCATCACATTTTCGCTATAAATATTTAAATGCAATCAAGTCAACCACCTTTACATTTTTGGTCATCTGAAGTTTTCTAACAAATTTTTCCGTTGAAAATCCAACACATAAGCACATCCTCTTAAATAGATTATCCCCTAGCTTTTCGAAAAAGACGTACGGGATAACAAAACTTGAGTAATAAGGACGAAACGTTTTGCTAAATTTGAAAAAAATTATAGTATTTACTGAAAGTATGCTCTTCATAATATGTCTAAAAGATACATTTCTTTTCGGTTGTAGGATAGAGAAACAGAGGGTAAATCAAACATATTTCACACGTTTAAGAATGTCACTTAAATATATATATATATATATATATATATATATATATATATATATATATTCATGCCATGTTTACATACATTTTGTATTGTTTCAACTTCTGCTTGACCTGCAGTAATCCCAAGAACAGGATTTTTCCAATAAATGCTATGTAAGCTACCAAGTTGCTTTGCTACTTTATTTAGACGCTCGCGTGGATCTATTCGAAACCCAAGAAGATATGATCCTGCCTGAAAGCAAAACAAAATTCAAATGTCAATTGTTGTTGCTAAGTAACCATTTTGACTAATTCATTGCTGTACTTTGAACTGAAATTCTTGTATTGTACTAACCTAAGACTTTGTATTATTTGTTGAACTCCAATGAAATAATTTTTACAGGATTGAAAATTCTGCCTTTAAGAATAGACAGGTGTTTTAACGTAAACTGATGCGTGATTTTACCGGGATTTTACGCTACCATGTCTAGGTGTCATCATAATCTACAAATCTAAATAGTTAATGTGTTGACCTATCCATTTAGTAATGCGTGTTTTCACGCATATAGGTTTCAGTGTCAAGAAACTGATGTTTTACTTCCTAATTCAAATAAAGGGAGAAACCTGGTAATAAGACAGTGTATTTTACATAAAAAATTACAATCGAAAGGTATTCCAGGTTGTAATCAATGCTAAAATGTTTTCTTGATATGAACTACCCACAAGTTAATTCATAAGTTAAATAAGACCATACATGTTTGAAAATGGGAAAGCATGAGACATTCTCAATAAAGATGTGACCAAGACTGCGTTGGTTATGTTTTTTTAATATAAGGTTTTAAAAGTGATACTGAGATTCAAAATGATTATGTGTATGTTTTGTTATAAACATTTTAATAAGTTAACTAATAAGTGACTCTTCAATTATTATGGATACTGAATTCAAATAATGTCCATGAAGTTTGGAAATTCCCATATAATATTTAAAAACGAAGGGTATTACTGAAAATTGTCGTTTTAAATAACTTCTTTATCAGATGTTGCAATTATAAGTTTAGAACTATCATTTTTGTGTGACAATATAAGAAAAATTACATTTTAATTAATCGATGTTGTACGTTTAAAATGACGGATTTCGGGTTGGCTGATTCTTAAACAGTAAAAAATACTAACTTAATAAAACAACATCATTGGCATCGTTGAGAAGAGGTTATACATTAAGGCAAGAAATAATTATTTTTGATCAAGATGGTGGATTT